GTGGTGGGGACGGTAGTGGTGGGGACAATGGTGAGGACAATGCTGGGAACAGTGGGGACAGTGGGACAGTGGTGGGGACGGTGGTGGTGGGGGACAGTGGTGTGGGGACAGTGGGAATGTGGTGGAAACAGTAGGACAGTGGAGGGTACAGTGGTGGTGGGGACAGTGGTGAAGGCGGTGGCGAGGACGGCGGTGGGACAATGGGACAGAGGTACAGTGGGGACAGTGGTGGGGACAGTGGGGACAGTGGTGGGAACAGTGGGACAGCTCAGTGGTTTGAACCGGTAGTACTTCCCCCTCCGGTTTTCGAGGGGGGGGGGGTCGAACCGGTAGTGACCCCCCCGGTTTTCGAGTTCGAGGGGGGGGGGATGGGGGGGAGGGTTAGGGGAGGGGGGGGGGTTTGCCGGGGGAAGGGGGGGGGGGGGGGGGTCCAGCAGGGGGGGGGGATTTTCGGAGGGGGGGGGGAACCCCGGGTTCCGGAAAGGCCGGCAATTTTCCACTCTAAAGCGGCGGTGGATCACGCTCTCTCTGATGTTGGCACTGATGGTGATGCTGATGATGATGCTGCTGCTGCTGTTGATGATATTGATGCTGATGCAAATGCAGCTGATGATGCTGATGATGATGATGCGGCTGTTGATGATGATGATGATGCGCATGCTGATACTGTTGCTTATGCTGACGATGATGGTGATGCTGCTGATGAGGATGATGATGAGGCTGATGAGGCTGATGCTGATGCTGATGCTGACGATGATGCCGATGATTGTGATTCCGATGGTTATGATGCTGATGCTCATGATGATGATGAAGTGATGGTGGTGATGATGATGCTGCTGATGATGGTGATGACTATGATGATGTTAATGCTGATGATGATGATGCTGCTGAAGATGATAATCCTACTGATGCTGATGATGCTGTGCTCTTACTGATGCTGATGATGCTGATGATGCTGATGCTGCTGATGCTGATGACGAGGATGATGCTGATGGTGATGATGCAGATTATGCTGCTGCTGTTGATGGTAATGCTGGTGATGATGATGCTGCTGCTGATGATGATGTCGACGATGATGACAGTGATGATGAGCATACTGGGGATGATGACGATGATACTGATGCCAATGCTGCTGATGATGCTGTTGCTGATGATGATGGTGATGTACAGATGGTGATGTTGCTGCTGGTGCTGATGATGATGCTGCTGATCATCATGGTGATGCCGATGCTGATGTTGGTTATGATGGTGATGGTTGTGGTGTTGCTGATGCTGATGAGGATGATGATGCTGTGTCTGATGACGATGCTGATGATGATGATGATGATGGCGATGCTGCTGATGATGCTGCTGCTGATGATGATGGTGATGTACATATGGTGATGTTGCTGCTGCTGCTGCTGCTGCTGCTGCTGCTGATGATGATGATGATGATGATGATGATGATGATGATGATGATGATGATGATGATAGTGATGATGCTGATCATGATGATGCTGATGCTGATGATGCTGATGATGATGATGCTGATGCTGATGATGCTGATGATGCTGATGCTGATGCTGATGAGGATGATCCTGATGGTGACGACGACGACGACGATGATGATGATGATGATGATGATGATGATGATGATGATGATGGGGATGGTGATGATGCTGAAGATGATGATGATGATGCTGCTGCTGATGATGATGATAATGATGATGATGATGATGATGATTATGATGATCCTGATGCTGCTGCTGATGATGATGATGAGATCAGGAGGAGCAAGAGGAGGATGATGATGAGGACGATGAAGAGGAGGAGGAGGAGGAGGAAGAGGATGAGGAGGAGGAAGAGGAGGAGGAGGAGGACACGGAGGAGGAGGAAGAGGGAGGAGGAGGAAGAGGGGAGGAGGAGGAGGAAGGAGGAGTGAGGAGGAGGAGGAGAGGAGGAGGAGGAGGAGGAGGAGGAGGAGGAGGAGGAGGAGAGGAGGAGAGGAGGAGGAGGAGGAGGAGGAGGAGGAGGAGGAGCCGGGGGAACCTTTTCTGACATGCTTGATGCCAACGGTCAGGCTGTGACCAATCGGAGAGAGGGAGAGAGAGAGCGATCTCACGGGTTGGCCAGACGTTCTTTTCCAACATCGAGGTATCCATGAGTGCGAGCGGTCACGAGTTTATCGCTGATCATGCCACGATTAGCGAGAATTGCGCCCCTCGGACCACTCCCCAGTTTCCAATATCCCCAACCTCTAAGATGCCCAGGGTATCTGAGGAATCGCCCAGCGGAATAAGTTGCTGGACTGACCGGAATTGTTGCGGATTTCGGTAGCTGTGTCCACGATCGTATGTCTCAGTTAATTTGCCCCCCTGCTGCTGAAACAGGTGTGCAGCAACGTGAACCACGTGGGTTCACGAGTGATGAATTTGTTTTTCTACATGGGGAAATGGCCCGCGAATGTGATGTGCAACCAGCGTAGCGCCTCGCTATGCAGCACCATCGGCACGCGCTAACACGATCTGCTTCCTCAGGCGGCTTTCCGTTTCGTGGAAAGAGCTCTCTTGTACATTCAAGTCGGAGGGGTTTTTGGCAAGGGGCTGGAGGGAGCACTCCTCATGGGAATACAGCTCGGGAGAGTCACCACGGAGTGTGCTACGCAATTTCTTCTTTTGTGGATTGGCACGCGGCCTTCTATTCCGCCCTCGGGTAGTTGTGTCTGACCCTCCCACGCGAGGCTCACAGGCTTGAGGATATGCTCCTGCAGGCTGAGAGGGCTCCCCTTTCTGCAAGCGGGACTCGAAGTGGAGATTGCTGCCGGCCCTCCGCTGGACAGCGTGGACATGCCCCTCTCAACTGCTTGAGCTTGTGCGTGATAGTCGGGTGGGCAGTTTCTGGCACATGCGTGGGGCTTGTGGTTTCGAGTGTCCTGGTCGAGGCTGCCGTCCTGGAACGCTTCCTGCTACTCACGTTTTCAATGTGTTGTTTGCCCGCATCCAGTAAAACATTGAGGAGAAGACCGCTCATAAGGACCTTCTTTGGACACCCCCTTGATTCCATATATCATTGTGGCTCATGCTTTGACAGGGAGAAACTTCACTCCAGCACATTTTCCGTTGACGATTTATCAGCGCTGGTAGCAGCACCAACCCCAGAGCTAGCCTTCAAAGCATTGCAGCTGGCCGACATCACTTCGGCTTCTGCGACCACGCGCGGCTTCAACAACACTTTCTGCAAGATGGTGGCCGTGCTGAGTTTTCGTGGAGTCGGAGCTTGCGCCCAACAAAGAAGACACCACCGACCATAATCAAGATACAGGACGATTGATAGGGCTGTATGATTTTCGTGTGCCCATCGTGGGGTCTCACAAAGTTTTGGGGGTTAGGTTCAATGATAGAGGCGCAATGGGTGATGATATTTTTGAGCGAATTCGGTCATCACGGGCAGCATTTCGGCCAATCAAAAAGGTAGTTGCATTTTGTACAAGTTTGGACTTGGAACACACGCAAATGCTATATTGAGGCGTATTTGGGCTGCTGCCAGCACATGGGGTTCGAGGCCAACGCTTCTTATGAGTAGAGCTCCCACGGGCTATATGCGTATAAAACATCGCTGCACTTGGGAGTACCACATTCGTGTCAAGTTCATGCCTCCATGTTGGACATGAAGGTGAGAGCTAATCGATGACCATTGCAGTAAGTTTTATCGAGGGCCAGGCTGAGACTCGTCCCTCGTATACCAAATGGAGCGCCGCCAACTGTGAACTCGCTGCCGCATCTTTCGTGTGACCGCGTATGGCCCACTATGCTTAGATATTATTTTGCTTGGTTCAGGCGTTTTTTTTCCAAGGCCGGCTCTCAATCAACCAATCATGATGATGATCAGTTCATCCAGCTCGCCAGACGAGACAGAGTTGTTTTTCCCGCTCGTTGCTCAGGCTGCTCAGGCGGCCAATAGATCTTGCGGCTGAGGTGCGTCTTTGGAGTTAGCAGGTCCTGAGGCTGTCTCGACGCCTTCTTTTTCTACCCCATCTGGGAGAGAAGCTGTGCTTGCAGTAGCTTGGCCACGAACTGGGAAGCATGTGCAGTTACGATTTGTTTGAGCCGAGCCCCTCTGTGGAATCATATGGCTCCCTCTCGTCCTGACTATCCGTGCTTTTCTGTGTTTGTGTCTGTTGTATGCTTGCTTGTGCACAGCGCCGTGACTGACGCTTTGGCTCAAGCCATTCTGTGTGCGTTGAGTGCAAAGGCATCCCTTTCAGTACATCTTGCGATGGCCGCCTGAACCCGTCGTGCCCACAGTGGTAGCGGAGCGTGGTTCACCGAACGACTTCCGGAAGCGAGGCCCAGGGCGGGTGCGCAGCTGGAGGACGGTTCACAGATCTACGGCAGGGCGAGGGCGACCTACGAGGGTGCAAGTACTGAAGACGGGTGATGAGTCACTCGAGCGCAGCTGCCTCAGCTAGCAGAGGTGCTCTTGTTAGCCCTCGAGGCGGCAGGGAAGGGCTGACAGACGCAGACATCGACAAGATTGCAGGCAGAGTGGCCCAGATGATACGGCTGGGCACAGGGGCTGCGCCGGCCTCGGCGCCACCTGAGGGCGCACCTAACCTCCAGGGGCTCGCCGGTCAAGATCAGAGCGCGGCTCCATCTCACGAAGCAGGCTGGAGCGTGGTCAACGACCCCTGGACGGAGCACGATCCGTGGCGAGAAGAGTGGAGAGCGAAGGATGCGCGGGCAGAAGAGGACAAGCTAACACCACCATCCATGAGGGCATCAGACACCTGGAAGGAGTGGAGAGACAGACCCGGGCGACAACAGACCTGGGATCAAGACTACTCGTGGCAGAGCTGGGGTAGTCAAGGCAGCACGTGGCAGCACGACCGCGGCTGGTGGCAGGGCCAGTGGACCCAACCCAGGCCAGCACCATCCTGGCCAGGCTGGGGGAGATTCAGGCTGTGGAAGCAGTACGTGCAGCGCTGGAAGAACGGCCTGAACTTGAGCGAGGCTCAGGCAGCAGACAGACTGCTAGAGATCCTGCCCTGGGAGATCCGGGCGACCCTCGAGGACGTCCCGGATAGCGAGCTGACGGTCGAGCTCATACTGAAGAGGATGGGCCTCAAGTCCGGTGAGCGCGAGGACGACGACCTCTACCGGACGGGCAGCGAGGCCATGCAGGACACGGAGAGGAAGAAGGATGAGGACCTGCACACCTTCGCAGAGCGACGCCGACGCCAATTTGACAAGGCGAAGAGCATCGGGATGGAGATCCCACAGAAGATCCAGGGCATGCTGCTGATGCAAGGAGCTCGTCTCAACGAGCAGGGCAGACAGAACCTCAAGAGCCTGACGAAGGGCTCGATGCTAGGCGAGGACATCCTCTGGGCGCTGCCCAAGCTGGACACCGGAGGAAAGATCTGGAGCGACGGCAAGCAATCATCACTATTGAGTATGGGACCGGAGGAGGCACTGCCAACTCCCGAGGTCCAGCGGGCAGAGACCGGGCCGGTCGAGGAGCCGATCTACGAGTGGTCGTACTGGGCCGACGAGCTGGACTCGGAGGACGAGGCCATGGTTCTCGTCGAGCTCTCCGAGAAGGGCCTCGCGGAGCCAGAGGTGGTCGAGACCTTGGCACAGATCGGCAAGACCAAGAAGACGTGGAAGGAGAACCAGCAGCTGAAGACTGCGCTCAAGCGGGATCGGGGCTTCTGGAAGAAGAAGCGCCGGCTCACCCCAACACAGCTGAAGTTGATCACGAAGTGCGGCAACTGTGGAGAAGTAGGGCACTGGCACAAAGAGTGCAAGAATCCTCATCGTCCCAGAGAGCGAGATGGCAAGGGCAAATCTCGGTCTGGAGGGGCCGAGATCGAGGCCTTCACGTTCACAGCGATCGGCGCGGGCGACGACCAGGACTTCAACATCGACGGCATCACGGTCCTGGGCAGGGAGGTGCTGGCGACCCTCAGGGAGATCGTCAGCTCGGAGACTACGGAGCTCTCGCTGCTGATTCTCGAGGGCGGCCTGATCATCGTGGACAGCGGTGCCTCTCAGGCGATCATAGGCCGCCGGGCTTTGAAGGAGCTCGAGGGAGATCTGCAGCAACGAGGCCTGCGGATCAACTGGATCGAGAAGAGCGTCCAGACACCTCGGGGTATCGGCGGATCGGCCACGCTGGTCGGAGTCGCCGTGGTGCCCATCTCCATCGGTGGCAAGAGCGGGACCATCGAGTTCGTGGTGACGAAGGAGGACCTGCCGCCACTCTTACCAGGCGGGTTTCTCGAGCAGTTCGGCGCAGTGCTGGACTACGAGAAGGAACTTCTCATTCTGAAGAAGTTGGACTGTGAGACTGAGCTCCACCGGATCGGGAAGAACCATCGGGGGATCTACATCAACGACTGGCGCGGGACGGAGAGCAGCTTCTCTCCCAGCTCGCGTGCCTTGCCAGCTGGACTCAGCTCGGACGCCTTCCGAGCCCCGACTGAAAAAGAAGACGTACTCTCTTGGAAGGATCCCTCCAGGCCTCAGAAGGAGAGAAACGACCCCACAGGAGCCCCCGCACCTCAGAGAGATCCCGGGAGCCTGCATACCGACTACAGCAGTTCGAAACCAGTGATGTCTTCCTCCAACCACGACTCCCGCCACATCTCCAACCCTGTAGCTGATCTGGCTCAAACATCGAGCCAGGCACAACCACCAAGCTCACCGCGAGATCCGCCTCAAGTCGATGCGGGACCGCCCAGACTTGGACATCTCAGAGAGGGTCAAGATCCAGTGGATCAGGCTGCTGCATGCCGGACTGATGTGGACACAGACCCTCATGGACAAGTTCTTTGCTCTGAACAGGCGCGGGAGACTCTTCCCGGGAAAGGAGCTCCGTCGGAGGATGGTGGAGGACCCCAGGCTGGTGAACGACCTCTACGAGTACCGGGTTCCGATGACGGCTCCCTTGGCGGACGGGTCGGTGCCTTGGACGCTCTGTGTGCACCGCCCCAGGTGGTTCGTGACCTCCCACAACCAGTACGGGAACTGGGAGCAGTGCAACAAGTGCAAGGTGAGGACGTCCTATCGAGAGATCGGGTACCGCGGGGACGGCCACCGACAGATGACGGCATCGGAGATGAGGAAGCTCAAGCAGCAGCTCCCGCGCGACGTCAGGCCCCTGAGCTCGGCAGGCTCGGCGATGCGGGAGGGCGCAGCTCCGGCTCCGAGTCGACGCGTGGCGTCGGCGCCGAACGACGAGAACACCTGGTCGAGCTTCAACCAGGAGCCCCCGCCACCGTGGGCATCAGAGATGGTGCGAGGCCTGTCGGCAGCAGTGGCCGAGGCGATGGCGGCATCCACGGGGCCGATGACAGCAGCGATGCGCGAGCAGTCCGTGACGCTCTCGCACATGGTGGCCACGATGCAGCAGATGGCGTCAGAGTCTCCAGCAGCAGGCGGGAGTGCGGACTCCAGCTCGCCGACGCCGCCAACCGGTCCGCCACCGACGACCACCGGGGTATTGCCAAACCTCGGGTTCACCATGGTGGAGGAGGTCCCGGCGGACACCGACATGAGGGGCAGTTGAGAGAGAGCGGCGTGCTGCGGCTACTTGGCGACAAGTCTCGACAGGAGTGCTGGCTTCGAATCCCTACCTCTCGCAGTTTACACAGAGAGGCCAGCGCTGTTCTGGAGCAGGCCAGGGCCAACGGCCGGTGCTACCGGATCGATCAGGAGGCTTTGGAGAAAAGCGAAGGCCCTCTATCTTCTCCCTCATCCCGTCTCAATCTCCCCTCTGTTCCTGCCTGGCAGTGTGAGTCCGACGACGGGCGATACCGACTCTGGGTCAGCACCTACACATCCACCTATCAGGGTAGACCCAACTCTACCGAAGGCGGGTCTGCGGGTGCGGGGTCCTACTACGTTGTCCCTCTCCAGAGCTACCTGTCTATCACGACGCTACGCGGCTCCGAGCCACATCACAACTCCGACGACACGCTAGCCAATCTAACGGGCCTGGACAACTACACTCACCAGTTCAAGGTTGACCAGAGGAGTAAGCGTCGTCTTCGTCAGAGTCTCCGAGGTCTTGGAAGAGTATCGGGATCCGACTCCTGGGGATACGAGTTTGTTGAAGTTTTCTCACCTCCTCGCACGGCAAAGGTCTCCTCTCAGCTGGGCTCCAGGGGCTCACCGACTGGTGGCAGCTTAGACTTAACCACGGGCTGGGATTTCCGACGTACGGATCACCGGGAGCTAGGAAAGCGGTTGATCAAGAAGTGGCGTCCATGGTTGGTATTTCTCAGTCCTCCCTGCACTGAATTCGCCGCCATCAACGCAGTCAACGATGAGCGGCGAGATCCGATCGAGATGGCCCGAGCGCGTGGAGAAGCATTGGACCTGTGGGCGTATGCGATGGAGATAATCGAGCTTCAGATCTCGGGCGGTCGCAAGTTCGCTCTGGAACAACCTACTACTGCGACCTCTTGGGCTCTTCCCAGTACTCAGAGGCTTCTGGAGCTCCCGGGCGTATCCAGGATCACGTTTGACATGTGCAGGTTTGGGCTCTCGGTTAGGCCTGGCACGATTTCCAAGAAGCCAACCACTGTGGTCTCCAACGACTGTGAAGTTTACAGGGCTCTCTTGGGAAAACGGTGTGCCGGGGACCACCGACATTTGGTGCTGGAGGGAGGCGGTCTGCCACGACGCGCGGCATGCTATCCTACTAAGTTCTGCAAGACCATAGCCCACGCGGTTCACCGATCCGCAGAGCTTCAGCAGCTGGGAACCGACGAGAGCTTTCCGAGCGGGGTGCTGGCGACTCGTCGACAGGAACGACCGACCCAGTCTCAGGTGGAGGGCCGCGAGCAGGACAACTCTGAGGACGAGGAGGAGGAGGATGAGCAGCAGCAGCAGCAGGACTGCCCGTTGACTCAGGAGCAGATTCGGCAGGTGGAGAAGGCACATATTAATCTTGGTCATCCCACCAAGAGAGACCTGCTTCGTATCCTTCGGTGTGCTCACGCTCGGCCAGAGATACTGCGCTACGTTCAGCATCACTTTGTGTGCCAGTCATGCGAGAGTGCCGGCAAGTCGATTCCTCAGCGAAAGGCAACAGTTGCTCGGATATTCTCATTCAACAAGCTGATTGGAGTAGACCTGTTCTTTGTGACATATCAGCACCGGGAGTGCACGTTTCTGAATGCCGTATGCCTGGGGACCTCGCTACAGTGGGTAGGGATTGTGGGACCCGGGAGATGTTCGCAGCCAGCAGCAGTGTGGAAAGCCTTCTCACGGGGGTGGATCCGACATTACGGACCTCCAGAGGTCCTTATATCCGACGGCGGGAAGGAATTCGAGGCTGAGTTTAGCAGACACTTGGAGCAACAAGGGGTGTTCCAGCACACCACCGACGCAGACAGCCCTTGGCAGAACGGGAAGACAGAGCGGGCGGGTCAATGGTTGAAGGAGCGGCTCCAGCGGTTCGTGGACGATACCATCCTGGAGGGACCCGACGACCTAGAGCTGGCGGCCTGTGAATTGGCTGCCTGGCGGAATCGTTTCCTGAATCGAGGCGGGTATTCACCGCTACAGCTAGTATTTGGGCAAAACCCCAGGGTACCACAGGAGTTGCTCAGCGAGGACCCGTTAGACCACCTAGGACTTCACGATCTCGAGGAACCGAGCGCCGACCTCGACAGTGCGGCGGCAGCTTTCCGACATCAACACGAGATCCGGTCTCGTGCCCGACAGCTTGCGATGGAAGGAGATGCGCGTAGGAAGTTGCAGCATGCGTTGGGATCAGCGTGGCACAGGGACAGGACCTACCGACCAGGGGATTGGGTATACATCTGGAGGCGAGCGCCCAAGACAGGGCGCAAACCATACGGTTTGCAACGGGATCGGTGGGTTGGGCCAGGTGCAGTGATATTTCATCATGGAACAACAGTGTGGGTGTGTGTGCGCAGTCGTTTGTGGAAATGCAGTTGTGAACAGATACGACCTGCTACGCAGTCAGAGTCCCTCGGGGCCGAGCTTATCCAGACCACGTGCTATCGGGACGTCTTGGACGAGCAGCTTGCTAAGGGGATCTCGGGAGGGGCTCTAGACGTTGCTCAAGAGGGACCACCACCACCAGAGGCCACCATGACTCCCATCAGCTCCGAGGGTAACGCGTCTCCCGTGACCATAGCACCAGCAGGCTCCAACGAGGTTCCAGGCCACCAAGGGGGCTCTCGGGACTCCAACATGGGCTCCAACAACATCGAGGCTCCAGAGGTCCCTACTCCAGCTCCCGACTCCAGCTCCCACCCCACTCCAGCTCCGACTCCGGCTGTCGCAGGTACTGTGGCTCAAGCAGTTGCTGAGCCTCCTGCGCCGCCACCGGGACTGCGACCTCCGACCCAGGCTGCCGGCGTGAGACCTAGACCGCGACTCGTCTGGGCTCCCGGTCCAGTGACTCGTCTGATACCTGTGCCAGAGCACGAGGAGTCAGATCCTGCTCCAGCGGACCCTGCAGGAGCTCTCGGACAGGGCGGTGCTGTCTCAGCCGCAGCCGGACCTCAGAGGGAGCCAGCCGCCGAGCCAACACCTCCTGTGTCTCAGACTGGCTCGACACCTGCCGGATCGGAGACAGGCTCACAGGCGGTGGCCACAGCTGGCGGCTCGCGGGCTTCGTCGAGACGACCTTCTCTGTCCGAGGACGACCTGGAGATCAAGCGAGCCAGGCTGGATCCTGACACACTCCGGTCCGCGACCGGAGGGGCTCCTACCGACGAACAGCTCAGGGGTTCTGGCCTACCGACACCCATGGAGCTCTTGCCAAGGGCCGAGGGTCGGGTTCGCACCCAAATCCAGGAGTTCGAGAACTGGCGGTCTCAGCAGAGCAGCGCTGCAGCCTCTTCTCAGGCCGGGCCCCTGGAGACGGGGTCGGAGACCCCGATGGACGAGACCGGCTTCAGCGCTCTCGAGGGCTACTGCAAGGTGCTGGACTCTTGGTTCGAGGACTCCGGCTGGAGCGGGGACGTCGAGACCTACATGAACGGCCGGAAGGATCTGATCTTCGAGTGCTCAGAGGACAGCGCCGGGCAGTGGTCTCTGCTCTCCTCACGCGGTGGGGAGGTCAAGCTCAAGGATCTCTCGGCCCAGGAGCTCGAGGATTTCCGACGATCGGACGAGGCCGAGTGGGGCGTACTCAACAAGCCTAACGTGCTGCGGATCCTCAGCAAGGAGGAGTCCACTCATGTGCTTCGCACCCGGCCAGAGCGGGTGCTATCGTCCAGGATGGTACGACGATGGAAGGCCCAGGAGGGTACGTTTAGTGCCCCAAAGGCCAAGAGCAGATGGTGCGTGCACGGTTTTGCAGATCCTGACACTGAGCATCTAGTGACGTATTCTCCGACGCCTCAGTCCGAGGCCATGATGCTTTTCGGGCTGGTACTCTTGGGCCATGGCATGGACCAGAGTATAGTGGACTGCAAGAACGCATTCAGTCAGTCGAGGCGACTCCGCAGGGCTGGTGGACCCATCTACGTGGCTCCCTGTGAGGGGCTCACTGGCATTCACGTTCCCGACGGGTGCCTTATTGAGCTACATGTCGCCGTCTATGGTCTAGACGACGCCCCTTGGGAATGGCACGCCACGATCACCTCCTACCTACGCGACCTTGGCTTCAAGAAGTTGCTGATGGAGCCATGCTACTGGACTCTCCGGGAGCAGGGCGCCCTGAAGGCTCAGGTCCTGATAGAGGTGGACGACCTTTGGCTGGGTACAGTTGCCTCCCACACGAGGTGGTTGGCCGACTCTCTCAAGGCCAGGTTCACCTTCGGCAAGTGGAGAGGCGACGAGGTCGAGTTTGCTGGACGCCGCATCAGGAAGGAGGCTCACCGCATTCGCCTGGACCAGGAGAAGTACATATTGGAGGAGATTCATCCGATTGTCTTGGAGAAGGGCCGCCGCTCCAAGAGACAAGAGCCTCTGAGCCGCTCAGAGTTCGAGCAGCTCCGATCCGGCATCTACCGGATCAACTGGGTGGCGAGGGAGACCCGTCCCGAGGTGGCGGGCGCGGCTTCCATACTCGCCAGCAAGCTGGAGCAGGCGGTGGTGGAGGACATCGTAGTTTTCAATCGGGCCGTCCAGATGCTGCGTGACACCGCCTCGCAGTACCTGACCATCTGGCGCCACGACCTATCGCAGGTGGTGAGTTTTACTTTGAGCGACGCGGCGGGGATTGGCACGGACTCACCCATGCAGTGTGCCTGGGCTGTGGGAGTGGCTGACCCTCAGCTGGCCGCCGGACTGACCAGCAAGGTGACGATGCTTTCCTGGAGATCCTCCAAGATGCGTCGAGCTGCCAACTCATCCCTGGCCGGTGAGGCCAACTCTCTCTGCCAGTCTCTTGGAGAAGCCGACTGGATCCAGCTGCTACTTCGTGACGCTTGCTTTGGGGACGTTCCTACTGCCGACTGGCGACAGCACGCAGGCCCCTACGTGTCGGTGTTACGTGACAACTGCGAGTTGCACCGACCCTTGCCTGGAGTTCATGCCACGGACGCCAAGTCCATCTTCGACTGTCTCTCCAAGAACTGTGCTGGCCGGAAGGAGGACCGCAGGACTTCCGTGGACCTCGCAATTGCTCGTGACTCTTTCTCCCAGCGGGGCTCGTGCGTGAAGTGGTTTCCTCACCTGCTCAATCCCACTGATGTGATGACCAAGGCTGATGTGTCCAAGGGGTCCGATGCCATGGGTCACATGATTCGCCGTGGGACTTTGACGTTGAGTGATGCTGAGTCGGAGAGGGCTCACCTCTTGGCCGGTGGTGAGAAGGGCCGGCGCAGTCGAGAGGCCAGCCGCCGCTATCTACAGGATCGCGAGCGCCGCCTCGAGGAGTCAGGTCGACAGTAAGTGGGGGGAGCTGTGGAATCATATGGCTCCCTCTCGTCCTGACTATCCGTGCTTTTCTGTGTTTGTGTCTGTTGTATGCTTGCTTGTGCACAGCGCCGTGACTGACGCTTTGGCTCAAGCCATTCTGTGTGCGTTGAGTGCAAAGGCATCCCTTTCAGTACATCTTGCGATGGCCGCCTGAACCCGTCGTGCCCACACCCTCTCCACCGCCACCGGTGGTCGAGGCGCCGGGAGACGTAGCGGAAGGGGGCGTTTCCGTCGAGGCTGCGCTGCCCCCGCCGCCCCCGCCCACGTCTGGCCTCCTCAGCTACGAGTGTGGGCCAAGTTGCTCGTTCCGCCAGGCTTTTGCGCACTCGCCAAACGAATTTGCACGAGCCGAGCGACCCGCTTGAACAGCTCGCGACGGGTTCGCATTGTCCATTCCGCTGCTGGGAGTCCTGGGACGGGAGCCGCCTTGTGAAACACTTGCGTTGGTCCTCCTCGTGATTCCGCAATTGGCTTAGCTTCCCGCTCCGCCCGACCCCAGAGGAACTTGCCGCGGCCGACTCTGCAAGGCAAGAAGCTGCAATATCCATCACGAGAGGAAGAAGGTGTAACACCCACGCCCTCGTACCAACCCAGAATACTTGGGGCTATCGTTCAGACCCAGACTGTTGCTTGAGAGACCCATCGGAGTTGCGTTGCCCCAAGTTTTGATCGAAGGAGGCGAACGTGACCCCTTGGAAATTGTGATCCCTGTGAGCGCAGCCCCTGGCAGAGAGGCTGATGCGTGTTACTTTGGGAGGTTGCTCGAGTTGGGTTCTGCGGCTGCCCGTGCTTTCGTGGGTGCCTTTCCCGTTTCCCCCTCCCCTGCTGCCCCTTCTCTCCCCTTTGCTCTCTCTTGGCCCGTGGGGTTGAAGGTGGAGGCTTGGTCGGGCAAGGTGCGGCACGGTGAGGTTTCGGCGGCTCTCATCGAGCCACATCTGCCCACTTGGAGGGGAACGGGGGGATTGTGGCGCCCCCTGGGCATACTGTGGGGATTGGAGCGCCTCCCTGCGACCCAAGGTGGGAGGTGGTTCGGGAGGACAACGGGTGGCTCCAGGCAGCGTTGTCCCTTGCTCTAGCTTGTTGTTTCTCGAACTGCCTTTTCATTCGTGTTTTGCCTCACAGCAGTTTTTTCTCAACAGAGGAAGTACAGCTGCTGCTGCCTTCTTTTTGAACTGAGGCCGCGGATATTGGTACGTGCACCTTTTTGGCTCTCCGCACCGTTTCCACCCTGGAACGGTTTTGCCATGGCATGTGGGGAGGAAGGTGTGCACGCAATGGGGGGCATGAGCGCCCCAACGACTGCAGCGGCCAGCTTTCGACTTCGGCAGCTGGACTTGCGTCTTCGCTTTTTGCGCAACTTGTTTTGACCAGGCGTGTCGAATGCCCATCCTGAACCTTCTATTTTACCCTCCACTCTCTCCTTCTTGTGCATTACTGGGGGTACTGTCTTCGCCTTTATCTCATCTTTCAATGCGGGGGGGCTTCGAACCTCTTGGGGCCTTAGGCAACGGGCGAGCGGGGGGGATGATGAGGAGGGGGGAGGAGGAGAAGAAGGCGGAGGAGGAGGAGGATGAGGAGGAGACAAAGGAGGAGGAGGAGGAGGCTGAGGAGGAGGACACAGAGGAGGCGGAGACAGAGGTAGAGGAGGAGGAGGAGGGGGAGGAGGAGGAGGATGAGGAGAAGGAAGAGGATGAGGATGAGGAGGAGAAGGAGGATGAGGAGGTGGTGGAGAAGGAGAAGGAGAAGGAGGCTGATGAGAGCCTTTCCTGGGGCGCCCTAAGAGGGTGCCGCCGAGGCCCAGGGTGGCGGCTGGCGCGTTCGACATCGGGGGCGCCTTGCAGGGCCTGCTCGGCGACGAGGATCTCTTTCGGATCGCTTGGGCAGGTCGACCCTGCCTTGGCACGGGGAGGAGGCGGACGAGGAGGGGGATGATTATGATGCTGCTGCTGATGATGATGATGCTGATGATGATGATGCTGCTGCTGCTGATGATGATGATGATGATGATGACGATGATGCTGACGATGCTGATGATGATGCTGATGATGCTGCTGATGATGGTGATGATGATGATGCTGCTGCTGATGATGATGATGCTGATGTTGTTGTTGTTGTTGTTGTTGTTGTTGTTGATGATAATGATGTTGAGGATGATGATGATGATGATGATGATGATGATGATGATGATGATGATGATGATGCTGATGATGATGATGATGATGATGATGATGATGATGATGATGATGATGATGATGGTGATGGTGATGATGATGATGATGATGATGAGGAGGAGGGAGGAGGAGGAGGGAGGAGGAGGAGGAAGAGAAAGGGGCAGGAGGAGCAGGATGCGGCGGCGGAGGAGGAGGAAGCGGATGAGGAAAAGGTGGAGGAGGATGAGGAGGAGGAGGAGGAGGAGGAGGAGGAGGAGGAGGAGGAGGCGGACGAAGAGGAGGAGCAGGGGGGGGCGGCGGAGGAACAGGAACAGGAGGAGGAGGAGGAGGAGGAGGAGGAGGAGGAGGAGGAGAGGAGGCGGCGGACGAGGAGGAGGAGGAGGAGGAGGAGGAGGAGGAGGAGGAGGAGGAGGAGGAGCAAGACGCATCAACGATGTTCCAGTAACCCCCCGCTTCATAGGCCCCTACAACACCTTATTTTCATTGCGGAAAGTGTACACATGTAATCCGTGCGTATGAGAAACGTCAACCGTGCCAAAGCGCCATTCCTGTTGCTTTACTGTCGCAGCTGCAGGTGCGCACCCCCGCCGCCGCCGCCGCCTGCTGAGGGTGTCCTGGGGAGGCGCAGATCCCGCAGCCGCACGGACACACACGACACGGATGTGGTGACCGCGGGAATGCGCAGGCTGGATGTTGATGATGCGATGCCGCAGGCGGGCTCCAGAGTTCACTGCCCCGTCGTCGGATGCCCTCGACATGACCGCCGCAGCCGCCTGTGGAGCTCTGTGCAACATATGCGGGCGCACCTCGAAGGACATCGGAATGGCACCTTGCAGGGAACTATTGCAGCAGAGTTTCTTCGGCAGCATCGGCTAGTACCATGCGTGGGGTGTGTGTGGCTGGTGGTCGGACCCGCCGGCTCGGCACCTCGCTCGGTCAGCGGCGGGACCGCCGGGGCAGCGAGCGCCTGATCTCGGCCGCCTCCCTGGATCGGGGGCCGCGGGCTTGCCGCCCCTCGTAGATATCATGCAGGCCAACGTGCGTACTGTGAAGAGGGCGCCGAGTTCATGCAAACTTTTATGGTCCACAGTTCTGACCTGGGCTATGGCATCGGCAGTTTTTCTGAAAGTGGCGCCAGGGGTGGATGCCCCCGAAGATGCAATGCAGCGCTCACGCGACGCCTGGGCCGAGCTTCTGATGCTGCCAAAGTGCGTCCTAGCAGTGGCCACGAGGTCCAGGAAGAAGCACAAGCATGTGCAGGACCGCCTCATCAGGACCGCTTGCAGCAATGGGCAGATGGTGACCGCTTAGAGTTGTGGCGCGCCCGTGCTGAGGCTAACCCACCGCAGTCCACGACCGCTTCGGAGGAGCAGCGGAGGCGCCGTGCCATCGCCTTAGCCGAGGAAGGCCTCGACGGGCAGGCGTGCAAGGCATTGCTTCCAAAGGGCATGGCTGACACGAGCATCAGGACGCTGAGAGCGTTGGAGAGGAAGCACCCTCAGGAGACCGAGGAGCGTGACCTCATAGTTCCGCAAGGTGTGAGTGGACCACAGGAGGATTTCTTAGATATGGATATTTTGGCCGCTTTGGGAACCTTCCCGAAGTGCTCAGCCAGCAGGCTTTCCGGGCTAAAGGCGCAGCACTTTCTTGATGCCGTCGCAAGCCCTGACCAAGCCTCTGGCCTTGACGCGTTGACACACCTTGTCAATCTGCTTGCCCGTGGACCGGCTGCTCAACATTTGTCCCAACATGTAGCTGTTGCCTCGCTCACCGCACTGCCCAAAGATGACGGCGACATTCGGCCAATCGCGGTGGGGGAGGTCTTTCGCAGACTTACCAACAACATTTTGTGTGCAGACGTCACGGCCGAAGCGCGCCGCCTGTTCTGGCCTTTGCAAGTTGGCGTGGCCAGCCCGCTGGGAACAGAAACTGTCGTTCACACCTTTCAGCAATATGTCAGCCGCCACCAGAACTCTCCAGACAAAGCCGTCCTCCTGATTGATTTTAGGAATGCTTTCAATAGCGTGCAGCGGTTTGTTTTCTTGGACGAGGTTGGCAGGCACATGCCATGCTTGGAGGCTTGGGCTAGGTGGTGCTACGGCGGTCCGTCGGACCCGTTGTTTGGCAGCCGCGTGCTGATGTCCAACAGGGGAGTCCAGCAGGACGACGCTCTTGGCCCTCTCCTGTTTTCGTTGGCTGTTCACCCTCTCTTGCAGGAGCTGAAGAGCTATGCTGGTTTAGACATCGTATGCGGTTACCTCGACGACTTCTGCGTGGCTGGCGAGTTCGGCGCGACGCTGCGGGCGTTGCGGCTGACTCAGCGAAAAGCGGCAAGCCTGGGCCTCGAGCTGGACTTGGACAAGTGTGAGGCCATTCCCGCGGCTGGGCGCAATGCGGAGTGCAGCCTGTCCGAGTTCCCCGCCGTTGTCCAGCGGAAAGTCGACGGTTGTTTCAAATTGCTGGACACTCCTGTCGGTTGCCAAGAGCATTGCGCAGAGTACGTGGAGGTGAAGAGAGCGCGGAAGCTGACCGCGATGCTCGACGAGGTGCCATTATTGGAGGACGCCCAGGTCGCCCACAAGTTGCTTTCTCGATGTTTTGGAGCTGCAAGACTTGTGCATAGTATGCGGACTACGCGGCCTGACTGGATAACGCGTGGTCTGGAACGGAGTCAGCAGGCTCTCAGGTCGACGTTCCAGATCTGCACAGGCACAGCGTTGAACGAGAGTCAGCGGCAGCAGGCGTCCCTCCCCTTGAGCAAGGGAGGGTTGGGATTTCGGTTCGGAAATTCTCACGCTGCTGCGGCCTACCTTGCTTCCCGCGTGGCGGCGCGTCATTTATGCGGTCAGATCGGCGCTGCCTTCTCGTGGGGCGGGGACTGCGATGGCGGCGCCCAGGCAGCAGCAGTCAACCTCTGCAATGTTGGCGCCCGCCAGGAGCACCGCATCACAAGCGAGGATTTGGGCGCCGACGGCGCCTTCCCTGGCCAGCGGGCTCTGTCAATGAAAATGGACGAGCGTCTTTTGGGCCAGCTGATCGCCGCGGGCCCAGACGCCCGCAAGGCGAGGCTCCTCGCAACCAGCGCGCCGCGCGCGAGCGCGTGGCTGCGGGCCTAGCCGCGGAGCGCCCTCGGGCAGCGTATGTCCCACGTCGAGTTTGTGGCGGCCGTGCGTTTGTGGCTGGGTGGCTGCGCTTCTAGCAGGGGCGCTTGGTGTCCGAAGTGCGACCAGGTGATGGACGCGCAGGGCCTGCGCTCTCTGCTGCGTGGCGGGTGGCGACGCGGTCAAGGTGCACGGCGCCCTGCGCATGCTGCGGGCCTCCGGGCTGAGAAGGAGGAGAGCGGGCTGCTGCCAGACGACCCTCGCCCGCGGCCGGGCGACACCCATTTCCCGACTTGGCCGCTTGGCCCGCCCCTGGCCCTCGATTCTGCCGTGGCGTCGCCTATCAGACAGTCTGCGGTGCATGGGGTCGCCGCCAGGAGATGTTGGTGTGCGCTGCGAGCAACTTGGCATCCGCCTAGTCCCCATGGTCGTGGAGTCCTTCGGCGGATGGGGCGAGATGGCGCAAGACGTGGCCCGGGCCTTGATTCACGCCCGCGCAGCGCGCAGTGGCGAGACGGTGAGCAATGTCACCACTTCCTTCTATTCTGGCTTTAGCATGGTTTGATGCGTGCGAACGCACGCGCTCTGCTTGCCAGGATTCCTCGGGAAGTCGGAGCCCATGCTGACGATGTCAGCCGCGCGGCGACCTTGCTGCAGGCGGGGCGTCAGGATGAGGCCGGCGCCCAGATAGACTGAGGGATCTTTGATCTCTAGTTTTCTTCCCCTCCCTCCTCCTCCGCTGGCATTTTTCCCTTTGCGCTGTCGCCCGTGGGCACCTCTCGGCCCGCTTCTTTTCTTGCCTAGGCCCCGGCCCTTGTTTGGTTCCCCTTCTCCCCTCTTCTCCCCCCCGTCTTCTGTCTTCATTTTTTGTTTGTCTCTCTCTCTCTCTATCCTCCCCCTCCTTGGCTCCCCCCCGCGCCTCCCGTCCCTCCGTCTGTCGGCCCGGTCTGGCCTTTCCTGTCGTCTTCCCTCCCTCTCCCCCTCCGCCTCTCACTCCTCGGCTCCTCGGCTCCTCGCCCCCCTGCCCGTTTTTGCCCCTTGCATGGCCCGCTTTTCTTTGTCGGCCCGTCCCGCGGTCCGAACAAGAGCTGCGGTAGCTTGGCGTTTGCTGCGCGAAGGACCAGCCCGGCTTTGGATGTCGATTGGCTATTCCGCACAGGAGCGCTCGGAGTTCGGTGCCGCGCGCACCCGTGAAGTGCCCTTGCCATTTTTTCTGGCAATAATAAATCGTGCCAAACCACAGTTCCTAGGACTTCATCAACGCGAGTCCACATGACTGTTGGGTCTCGACAAGCCTCATGCGTGTCAGAACACCGTCCCTGAAACTTCAAGCGTACGAATCCTTATACCTAGCTGCCGCAGACTTTTAAAACAAATGTGTGCGTCGCTCATGCGAAAACGTCATTTAAAGTATCCGCCGCCTTCTATTTTTGAAGCTGTTGCAACATTTGAGGCACATGTGTGCGGTGCTCAGGCGAGAACAGGTTTTGAATCATGAGCAGTCCTCAATACTTCTAGCTGTGAAATGCGTTCGAAACGAATGAACGTGGTGTTAAAGCGAGAAACACATTTCGAAAACGGCTCGCCCTCCATTCTTGAATCTGTGGCGGACTTTACGACGCGTGTGCGCGGCGTTCAGGCGAGAGCCACAAAAACCACATTTTGAAAACGGATCGTTTTTAATTCCAAAACCATTGCAAATGCCAAGCTTCATTATCATAAATGGTGAGCAAGTAGCGAGCGAAACGCCCAGTCCTCCCGACCGTCGCGTTTTTGATTGCGACGAGGGGGCGTTGTTAATAAGTGAAATGGATGGAGGCGGAGTAGAAGGAGGAAAACCAGTGCAAATCCAATACCCATTAACGATATTGTAATCAAGCCTGCTTCCATTTTTTTTTTTTTTTTTTTTTTTGGTTGGTTGTTTTTTTTTTTTTGATTGTTTGTTATCTTTCATAGGCTGCTCCCACACTCATACTGAGGGAAATGTTCCGTTGGAAGGCAACCGTTTGAAAATCCGAAATTGTGCGAGAACACCATGCCTGGGATTTCAACGCCGCGAATGACTGTTACTGTTGCGCTTTGACGATCCTGAACCGTGCCAGAACACCATTCTTGGGACTTCAACACCACGAATCAACGTGATGGTCGCGCCCTGACATTCCTACATCGTGCCGAAACGCCGTTTCTGGGACGTCGCGGCGCTAAGACGGGAACCACATTTTGAAATGGAGCCGCTCTCCATCCGTGAAATTCTTGCAAGCTTTGAAGGCGATTGTGCGTGGCGCTACGGCGATAGCCACATCTTGAAAACGGGCCGCCCTCCATTCGTAAGGCTCTCGCAAACGTTGAAGACAAATGTGCGCGGCGTTCAAGCGAACCGCCCTCCATCCGTGAAGCTCTTGCAATTTTTTCAACGAATGCGCGCGGCGCTCGGGCGAGAGCTACATTTTGAGAGCGGACCGCCGTCACCCCGTGAAACTCTCGCAGCTTTCAAGCCTCAGGATCATAAATTATGAGGAAGTCTCAGGCGAAACGCCCGGCCCGCCCTTTCGACCGGCCTCGGAGTGCGACAGGAAGGAAATACCGATACGGAGAAAATGGAGACTGGGGAGGATGCTTGGCAGGAGGCTGGGGATAAGGATGATAATGATGATGATGCTGCTGATGATGACGATGACGATGACGATGACGATGACGATGATGATGATGATGATGATGATGATGATGATGATGATGATGATGATGATGATGATGGTGATGGTGATGGTGATGGTGATGGTGATGGTGATGGTGATGACGATGATGAGGATACTGCTACGGATGATGATGATGGTGCTGGTGCTGATGATGATGTTGATGATGATGACGATTATGCTGCTGATGCTGATGGCTGTTATAATGATGATGATGGTAAGGATGATGGCGATGCTGATGATGATGAGGAGGACGATGATGATGATGCTGATGCTGCTGATGCTGCTGTTGCTGCTTATGATGATGATGATGATGATGATGATGATGATGATGATGATGATGATGATGATGATGATGATGATGATGAGGAGGAGGAGGAGGAGGAGGAGGAGGAGGAGGAGGAGGTGGTGGTGGTGGTGGTGGTGGTGGTCACTGCATAAGGGAAACATAATCCCGATCAGAGCAACACGCACCACGACCACGACGACGCCGACGACGACGACGACGGAGACGAGGCGCGCTCACGATCCGCACCGAAGCACGGATTTGGGAAATGGCCCACCCTGCAGGTTCGGTTAAACAGCACATCGTTGAGCGGTGCTGCAGCCTCCCCTGAGCACAGACCCCCCCAGAGCATCAGCCAGACAAGTCGGGTTTGCACCCTCATGCCTTGCTGGACTCTGGGCGCGTTTCGGCACCCTCTCCCCCAACCTCGTCAGGGCCACCGACAAGGGAGAGGGCGGCGGTGGCCGACGCGTCCCCGAGCTAAGAAGCTCAAAGCGCCGCGGCTCAGAGAGCCGGGAAGACAGACAGACAGACGGACGGACGGACAGCCAGGCGGCGTGCAATGCCTGGCAAGCCAAGTGGGTGGTCACTGCATAAAGGAAACAGAATCCCGAGCAGAGCAACACGCACCACGACCACGACGACGCCGACGACGACGACGGAGACGAGGCGCGCTCACGATCCGCACCGAAGCACGGATTTGGGAAAGGGCCCACCCTGCAGGTTCGGTTAAACAGCACATCGTTGAGCGTTGCTGCAGCCTCCCCTGAGCACAGGCCCCCCAGAGCATCAGCCAGACAAGTCGGGTTTGCACCCTCATGCCTTGCTGGACTCTGGGCGCGTTTCGGCACCCTCCCCCCCAACCTCGTCAGGGCCACCGACAAGGGAGAGGGCGGCGGTGGCCGACGCGTCCCCGAGCTAAGAAGCTCAAAGCGCCGCGGCTCAGAGAGCCGGGAAGACAGACAGACTGACGGACGGACGGACAGCCAGGCGGCGTGAAATGCCTGGCAAGCCAAGTAGGTGGTCACTGCATAAGGGAAACAGAATCCCGAGCAGAGCAACACGCACCACGACCACGACGACGCCGACGACGACGACGACGGAGACGAGGCGCGCCTACGATCCGCACCGAAGCACGGATTTGGGAATGGGCCCGCCCTGCAGGTTCGGTTAAACAGCGCATCGTTGAGCGGTGCTGCAGCCTCCCCTGAGTACAGGCCCCCCCGGAGCATCAGCCAGACAAGTCGGGTTTGCACCCTCGTGCCTTGCTGGACTCTGGGCGCGTTCCGGCACCCTCTCCCCCAACCTCGTCAGGGCCGCCGACAAGGGAGAGGGCGGCGGTGGCCGACGCGTCCCCGAGCTAAGAAGCTCAAAGCGCCGCGGCTCAGAGAGCCGGGAAGACAGACAGACAGACGGACGGACGGACAGCCAGGTGGCGTGCAACGCCTGGCAAGCCAAGTGGGTGGTCACTGCATAAGGGAAACAGAATCCCGAGCAGAGCAACACGCACCACGACCACGACGACGCCGACGACGACGACGACGGAGACAGGCGCGCTTTACTATCCTTACACCAGAAAGCACGGATTGGAAAGGGCCCACCCTCAGGTTTTCGGTTGAAAACGGCAACCACGTTGACGATGCTGATAGCCTCCTCCCCCCCTGACACAGGCCCCCCCAGACATCCGCCAGACAAGTCGGTTGCACCCTCGTGCCTTGCTGACAACTCTGGTCGCGTTTCGGCAACCCTCTCCCCCAACCTCGTCAGGCCACCGACAAGTGACGGTCGGCGGTGGCCGACGCGTCCCCGAGCTAAGAAGCTCACAGCGCCGCGGCTCAGAGAGCCGGGAAGACAGACAGACAGAAGGGCGGACGGACAGCCAGGCGGCGTGCAATCCCTGGCAAGCCAAGTGGGTGGTCACTGCATAAGGGAAACAGAATCCCGAGCAGAGCAACACGCACCACGACCACGACGACGCCGACGACGACGACGACGGAGACGAGGCGCGCTTGCGATCCACACCGAAGCACGGATTT